CATCTGGTCCTGGGCTTTTCTTTGTTGGGAGGGCCTTTATTACTGTTTCAATTTCTGTCTCAGTTATGGGTCTGTTTAGGTTTTCTATGTCTTCCTGGTTCAATTTAGGTAGGTTGTTTGTGTCCAGGAATCTATCCATTTCTGATAGATTTCCCTGTTTGCTGGCATACAAGTCCTTGTAGTAATTTCTGATGATTCTTTTTATTTCTGTGGTGTCTGTTGTTACGTTTCCTTTTTCGTCTCTGATTTTATTGATTTGGGACTTTTCTTTTTTTAGTTAGTTGGGCCAATGGGGTGTCAGTTTTGTTTATTTTTTCAAAAAACCAGCTCCTCGTTTGGCTGATTTTTTGGAATGTTTTTTTGGATTCAATCCTGTTTATTTCTTCTTCTGATTTTAATTATTTTTGTTCTCCTCGTAGATTTGGGTCAGGTTTACTGCAGATTTTCTAGATTCTTGTGATGAACTGAAAGCTCATTTATGTGATGCCTTTCCAATTTCTTGATGTAGGCACCTATTGATATAAACTTTCCTCTTAACACTGCCTTTGCTGTGTCCCATAAGTTTTGGTACATTGTGCTGTTATCCTCATTTACTTCCAGAAAGTTTTTGATTTCTCTTTTGATTTCTTCTATGACCCAATGTTCATTCAGGAGCATGTTGTTCAGTCTCCATGTGTTTGCATATGTTCTAGGGATTCCTGAGTTATTAATTTCCAACTTCATTCCCCTATGGTCCAAGAAGCTGCATTGTATGATTCTAATTCTTTTGAATTTGCTGAGACTTGCTTTATGGCCTAGTATGTGGTCAATCCTAGAGAAGGTTCCATGTACTGCTGAGAAGGATGTAAATTATTTAAGTGTAGGATGAAAAGTTCTGCAGATACCTGTTAGATCCATTTGGGCTATAGTGTTGTTTAAATCTACTGTCTCCTTGTTGATCTTCTGTCCTGTTGATCTGTGTGTTTCTGAGAGTGGATTATTGAAGTCCCCCAGTAGTATTGTATTGGGGGTCTAAGTCTCCCTTTAAGTCCCTTAACAAATCTTTTAAATAAACCAGTGCCCTGTAATTAGGTGCATATACATTGATAATCATTATATCTTCCTGTTGAATTGATCCCTTAATCATTATGTAGTGCCCCTCTTTGTCTCTCCTAACAGTTTTTGTGATAAAGTTTATGTTGTCCGATATTAAGATGGCTATGCCCGCTCTTTTTTCATTTCTGTTGGCATGGTATATCTTTTTCCAGCCTTTCACTTTCAGTCTGCATGCATCTTTGTTGGAAAGATGTGTTTCTTGTAAGCAGCAAATAGATGGGCTTTGTTCCTTAACCTGATCAGCCAATCAGTGTCTTTTAACTGTACAGTTCAGGCCATTAACGTTCAATGTGACTATTGATAAGCAGTAACTTTTCCCTACCATTTTCCAAAGATATTTTCTAATATATGCTTTGAATTTCCTGTGATCTTTTGCTGTGAGGTTTCCTTACTTTACCTTCTTTCATATTGATGACCATGTTTCTGTGTATAACACATCTTTAAGCATCTTTTACAGGGCTGGAAGAGTGGCAACAAATTCTTTCAATTTCTGTTTGCTATGAAAGGTCTTTATTTCACCTTCATTCACAAATGAGAGCTTAGCAGGATACAATATTCTGGGCTGGCAGTTTTTCTCTCTTAGCACCTGTGCTATGTCTCGCCATTCCTTCCTAGCCTGTAGTGTTTCTAATGAGAAGTCTGCTGTGAGTCTAATTAGAGATCATCTGAGAGTAATCTGACGTTTCTCTCTTGCACATTTTAGAAACTTTTCTTTATGTTTCACTGTGTTGAGTTTGATTACAACATGTCGTGGTGAGGATCTCTTTTGGTCATGTTTACTAGGGGTTCTATGAGCTTCCTGTACTAGGATGTCTCTGCCCTCCTCCAAACCCGGGAAGTTTTCTGCTAGTATCTCACTAAAAAGGCCTTCTAATCTTTTCTCTCTCTCTCTATGCCTTCAGGAACTCCTAGAATCTGAATGTTGGGTTTTTTAATAGTATCCTGTAGATTCCCTACAATATTTTTTAGATTTCTAATTTCCTCTTCTTTTCTTTGGTTTGACTGTATACTTTCTTGTTCTCTGTCTTCTTAGTACAATATTCTCTGTTCTGTTTCACTGACTCTGTTTTAAGGCTCTCTAATGTGTTTGTCATTTGATCTATTGAGCTCTTCATTTCACTTTGATTTCTCTTCACTATCACACTTTCCTGTTCTACTCGTTTCTGCATTTGATTCCTCCTTAAGGTTCTTTTTCTCGAAGGAGATTTTCTATCGTGTCCAGTAAGGAATTCTGTAGCTCAAGCATTTGTTTTTGAAAACTTCTAATTGTTCTTACCATAAATTTTTTGAAATCCGTATTTTGCATTTCTTCCATCTCATCATGTTCATAATCTTGAATTGGGGTGTCTTGTTCATTTGGGGGTGTCATAATGTCTTCCTTGTTCTTGTTTCCTTGGTTTCTGCATTTGTTGCTTGGCATTGTGGAGATATTCTTTGGATTCTTTTTCCCTCGCTGTGGTGTTTTTTTTTTTTTTTTTTTGTTATACTATGACTGTATAAGTGGACTGTCTGGTTTTGATAGAGTCTTAGAGGCTTAAAGTGGGTGTGGCCAGAGAGCTCTGTTTGGTTCTTCAGGGTTAAGGGTGTGCCATTGGTGACACTCCCAGGTAAGGCATGGTAAATCTCTCTCTCTCTCTCTTTTTTTGATTCAAAAGGGAATTAATTCTGCACAGCTGAGTGGAATTGGAGGTAGTTAGTAGGCAAATGATATACCCATAGGAGCCAGAGTTCGGAAGCTCTTTCCCAAGGACCACACAGGGAATCTGTGCTGCCCTCAGTGTGGGCTCAAATTCTCCTGCAGTCTCCCACTGGGTTGCCAAGGTTACTGAATTGTAGAGTCTCTGAAGAGTATTCACGTGAATTCTGTGAGTTCTCTCCCCCACCATCTTTTGTCACAGTCTCAGTTCATTAGCACCACACATTCACTAGGTCCTAATATCCTGTTATTGCAGCCCCCCACCCTGAGTCAGGTTTTTCTGCTTGGCTGAGGGTGAGTGCAGACCTGAGGTCACCCCGCTTATGATGTATGTTCAAAATGGCGCCTGCTCTTTGTCTTGCTTGCCTTTGAGAGGTGAGCAGAGAGAAACTCGTGTCTCTATTGGTCACTTTTTTTTTCTCTCTCTTCTAGTTAGCCTGGTGAACTTTTCCCCACTGGGTTTCAAGCCTCATTCCCTCTAGTCTCCTCTTTCCGCTTGCCCACCGGTGTCTCGGACTATTAAGGTTTGGGTCACCTCGCGTTCCAGCGCTGGTGTGTTGATTCTGCCACTGGTGTCCCAAACTGTGGGCTCCCACGCTCTCCATGCAGGTCCACTGTGAACCACTAGTTCCAGAAGAGTTTCTTCTGTTTCTTCCCCTACTCTTCCTTGAACCTGCAGTATCTCCACTTTTATTAAACTGTGTCTTCCCAGACTATCAGTGTGCTCCCTTCCTATTCCACCATCTTGCCGCTCTCCTGCTCATATCGGCATTTATAGAATTTTTTCTCTTTGGTTAGATCTGTGGCTCACAGGCATGCAAAGTACCCACCCACTGTAGCCCTGCTCACTTCTCTCAGTTGTGCTTGGCAGGTTCCAGATTCCTGCAAGGGGCGCTTTCCCTCTGTAGGGGTGGTTCCCCATTGTGGTGCCATTGGCACAGTAGTTGGGGCAGATGCCCCCTGCCTATGTCAAAAAATGGTGTCAGCTCTTGTGGGGAGGGGGGAGGAGGAGAGACAAACCACCTTTTTTCTGCCTCTGTGCAATTGGTTGCCTGCTCTTTTGGGGGATTTGCGTACAATTCCAAAAGCAGTTCACTAAGCTCTCCCTCTCATTGTATCAGCAGCACTGTGGGCCCATGGAGTCTCCTCTCACCTGGCTTATCAGGATCCTCCCCAGATCAAAGTTGGTAAAGTTGGTAGGTCTTCTGTTTTGTATTTGTTCTCTCAGCACAGGTCTGGATAGCCTACACTACTCTGGCATGGTCTTCCTCCGTGGCTCTCCTGCAGCTTTTTACTAGGGGTGTACTCTCTCCCATTTTTTAAATATTAATTTTGCTCTGCATAAATCAGATGATCCTGTCACTATTCTGCCATCTTGGAACTCCCATCCTGTGTTGATTTTATATCCTGTAATTTTACAAACTTTCTTATGAGTTCCAGTAGTCTCTTAGTGGAGTCTTTTGGTTTCCTATATATTGGATTTTGTAATTTGCAAACAGGAATACTTTGACTTCCTCCTTTCCACTTTGTTTCCCTTTGATTCTTCTTCTTCTTCCTACTGGCTGTTGCTAAAACTTCCAGAACTATTGAATAGCAGTGGTGAAAGTGAACATCCTTATGTGGTTCCAGAGATTAGTGGAAACACTTCCAACTTTTCCCCATTCAATAATATGCTGGCTGTGTGTTTTTGTTATATATTACCTTGTTGTCTTAAGGAATGTTACTTCTATACCCAATTTGCTTTTTATCATGAAGTGATGTCGTATTTTATCAAATGCTTTCCTTCAATCTATTGAGATAACCATTTAGTTTTTATTCTTCAATTTGTTAATATGATGTGTCAATTTTATGGATTGTGTATGTTGAACCATCTTTGCATACCAGATGTAAATCCCAGGTGGTCCCAGTGAATTATCTTTCTGATGTGTTGTTGGATTTGGTTCTGTGTTATTTTGTTGAGGATTTTTTGTATCTCTGTTTATTAGGGATATTGGTCTATGGGTATCTTTCTTAGCAGTATCTTTCTGTTTTGGGAATTAATGTGGTGGTGGTCTTATAGAAAGAGTTTGGAAGGATTCCTTCCCTTTCAGTTGTTTTGAATACTTTTAGAAAAATTGGAATTAGTTTGTCTTAAGGGTTTGATATTATCATATAAATTTCAAACACTAGTTTCAGTTTTTCTCATTTTTCTTTTTTTTTTTTTTCTCTGAGATAGTTCCAAACATTGTCTTTTGTGTTGGATATTCTTTCTTCTGCCTCACCAACTCTGTTGTTATGGCTTCCTGCCCCCCCCAACCTCCATATTTTTTATTTGACATACTGAATTCTTCAGTTCTAATATTTCAGTTTGATTTCTCTTCAATATCTCTATCTTCTGGCAACATTTTTTTATCCTTGTCCTGTATGGATTTCTTTTACTCATGAATTTTCTTCTCACTGTTTTTAGTAATCTTATCATTCTTTTGAATTCCCTTTTAGGCATTTCACTAATGTCTTTGACTTCACACTTTAACATTGAAGTGTTGTTGTGTTCCTTTTTGGAGTCATATTGTCTTCTTGTTCACGTTTCTTATATTGCTACATTTATTTTTAGGCATTTGTGGAAGCACTTGTCAGTTTTCTTCTTGATGGCTTTTATCTTTGAAATATTCCTCTGTAGTTTAGTGGAGTGTCTGCTCCTTCAGTGGATATTCAGAAAGGTGTGCTTGGTGAGACCAGCGAGCTCCACTGGTGCAAGAGGGTGGTACAAAAGTCCAGGTTTACACCCCAGTTAGGCATGGTATATCTCTTCAATTGTCTGCAGTGGAGAGGGTAAGATCACATTGGTTGGTGTGATAACTGCCTCACCTTTTCTCTGCCAAGGTGATCAATGCCCACAGTGAGCCCAGAGTGGCTACACACCCCATCCATGCAGGCACATGAACCATAAAAATGATCTGTGCTGTACTCAGTGTGAGCAGAGAACCCTCTGCACTGACCAACCCCAGGCACTCAGTGAGCTCTGAGCCTCTGAAACCAGACACAGTGATTACCAAGAGACCCAGTTATACCCCATGCCCTATTATACAAAGAATTCCCTAGTCCTAGTGTGTATGGTTCTCACAGTCACAGGGATAAGGGCATCCACTCTCAGCTCCATGAACCTTCTCAAGTCCACAGAGAGAGCTGAGGCATTCCCAGAGCTAACTGCCTGTTATTCTGCCTAAGCAGTTGAGTTTGGGCACCTGTGAAAGAGTGAGGGGAGTGGAGTGCCTCTCAGTCCTAAGTAGGGATCAGCCCCTGCCAACCCTTCAGGACAGAGTCAAAAGTCAGTGAGGACCACAGATTTATCCCTCAGATAAAATATCCTAGTTGTGTACAAGCTGTGGAATGCTGTACTTGTCTTATTAAAATGGTGCTTCTTCCCTGCTAGTTGCTGGGAGACTTTGGGGGAGGGGTTAGGAAGGAGGCAATGTGCTCTCCTTTCAGAGGGTTAATTGGGCACCCTGCCCCTGGCCAGCCCTCCAGGCTGGACTCAAAGTCAGTGTGGCTCACAAGGTTCTCCCTCAGGCAGTATCAGTATGACAGGGGTTGCTGTAGACTCCTCTCACTTCTAAGAAGGTGATGTCCTCTTCTGACTGATTCTGATGCCAGTAGGAACAGAACAGAGGTGTACTGCCCAACTTATTGCTGAGCATGGCACTTTGTGGAAGTCAGGGAGGGGAAGGAAGCAAGGCTATTTCCCTCTTCCAAGCATGGCAGTTGCTTAAACTCCCATCAGCTCCCCAGGCTGAGATAGAAGTCAGTGTGTGACTGTAGAATTCCCTCTCAGCTAAAACTGTGAGTGTCAGGGTGGGCAGCAATTTCTTCCTTCCTTGACATGGTATGATTGTAGCTCATTGCCAGCAGCTGGCTACAGTGTTGTCGTCTTCTATTTTCTCACCTTTTGCTTCATTGTTTTTTTTCCATTTGAAAATTTCTGTCAGCCCCCTGGAAATGTGGTCCTTCCTTTATTCTTTTCATATCCCAGAGCATCTGGAGTTTCTGTGACTGTATCCTAGTCAGCCATCTTGGATTCAGTCCCCAACAATATTTGTTTTACATTCACCTCTGCCTCCATCATGCCTATTCTGTGTGACGAAACTGCAGTAAAGTCTTAGCCATGAAAAAAATGCAGATTTTTCCCTTGATATTTTGAAATATACTTGCTTAGCTATTAGCTTGCATTTGAACCAGGAATATTAAATAGCTTATTACTAAATACTTTCCTTTACAGAGCAATTTTTGTCACTAAGGACTTTCCTATATAGAGCAATTTCAACATATTTTACCAATGAGAGGAACCATTCAGTGCTGTTTGTTGATTATGTGTGTGAAATTAACCAAAGGAAGGGAGATTATCTGGAAAGGAGTCTTCCTCTTGAGGTGCTAAAGATAAGCCAACAAAAGCTTCATTTAGCATATCCCCTCTGTCCAAGGGGCCCAGGAGTTCTGTTAAAAAGATGAAAATATGAGTCAAATACAAATATGATTTCTACTCACCTCATAAGATTATAGAAAATCTTTCATATCCCAGTGGAGCTTTTTTTATTTTGTAAATTTTCTATGTAACATATAATAAAAATCTTATAGTCCCTGTCCCCTTATTATTTCTGTAACTTTTTTACTTACCTCATTCAGTGGAGTTTGATAACTGAAAAATGAATGCTTTCACGTTCATATATATGTGTGTGTGTGTATGTGTGTATATGTATATATATGTATGTATGTATTTAAATATTTATTTATTTATTTGAAAGAGAAAAAGGGAGAGACAGAGATAGATCGTCCATCCGCTGGCTCACTCCCTAGATGGCTGCAACAGCCAGGGCTAAGTTAGGCTGAAGCCAGGAGCCTGGAAGCACATCAGTCTCCCACATGGGTGGCAAGGGCCCAGACACCTGGGCTATCCAATGCTGCTTTACCACTATGCCATAATGCTGGCCCCTATTTTTAAATATTTATTTATTTTGAAAGTCAGAGTTACAACGAGAGAGAGAGAAATTGATTGATTCTATCCACTGGTTCACTCCCAAGTTGACCACAGTGGCAAGCTCTGGGCCAGGATAAAGTCAGGAACTAGTAGCTTCTTCAGGTCTCCCATGTGGATGATAGGGGCCCAGGTACGTGGGCCATCATCCGCTGCTTTCCCAGGCAATTAGCAGGTGGCTGGATTAGAAGTGGAGTAGCTGGGATATGAACAGGTGCCCATATGGGATGTGGGCCTCACAGGAAAAAGCTTTATCTGCTGTGCCCTAACACCAGCCCCATCACATTCAAATTTTAAATCCCATCTTTCTTATTTATAGTATTTTTTGCCAGAGCCTTATTCAGATATTTTTTATTAGCCGATTACTGGAATATTTTATTATCTTGAGATGCTGTAAGAAGTGGATTATTTTACTCTATCAAATACAGAACACAATTTGAAAAAGTAAAAATATCCAATATTTTCTTTCAGTTAGCATTTAAAGTGTATAGAATAGAGAAATATACTTCTACTTCATTCAAATGTATAACAGTATTAGAGAAATAATGGTGACTTTGACAGGACATTGTTTAAAAAAATTATGAGACATAACTGAAAAAATATTTTTTTAAAGATTTGTTTTTTGAGAGGCACAGTTACAGACAGAGAGGAAGAGACAGAGAGAAAGGTCTTCCATCCATTTGTTCACTCCCCAAATGGTCGCAACTGCTGGAGCTGGGCCAGTTGGAAGCCAGGAGCTGGGAGCTTCTTCTGGGTCTCTCACACGGGTGCAGGAGTTCAAGCACCTGGACAATCTTCTACTGCTTTCTTAGGCCATCACAGGGAGCTGAATTGGAAGTGGAGCAACCAGGACTTGAACTGGTGCCCACATGGGATGCTGGCACTGCAGGGGGCAGCTTTACTTGCTACACCACAGCACAAGCCCATGAACAATGTTTTTGTTATGACAAACAAACCTTATTAAAAATTCAAAAAATTCTTAGGGCTACTGTATATGTGTATGTGCATGTGTGTAATTGCAGAGAAAACATTTAATTTTTATAACTTTCAAAATATACATTTCAGTAGTGCTAAGTGTATTTGCAGTATTATATACTGTGTCTCTAGAGCTTTTTCATCTTCAAAAACTGAAATTATACCTGTTAAACATCAATTTCCCCTTTCCTCTCTGTAGCCTCTGATAACCACCATTTTATTGTTTTTATGAATATGATGATTTTAGATACTCATGTGAGTGACATTATACAGTATTTGTATTTTTAAAAATTTATTTATTTGAAAGGTTGATTGAGAGAGAGAGAGAGAATATGAGAATCTATCTTTGATCCACTGGTTCACTACTCAAATGGCCATAACAGCCACGGATGAACCAGAGCAAAGCCAAGAATGAGGAACTCCATCCTGGTCTCCCCCACATGCGTGTCAGGGGCCTAAGCAGTTGGGCCATCTTCCACTATCTCCCCAGGAGCATTAGCGGGGAGCTGGTTCAGAAGTGGAGCAGCCAGGTCTTGAACCAGCACTCTAGTAAGTGGCTTAACCCACTGTGCCACAATGCCAGCCCTCAGTATTTGTGTTTTTCTGATTGGCTTATTTCACTTAGCATTATGTACTCAAGGTTTATCCATGGTGTAGTACATGACAGGATTTCTTCCTTTTTAAGGCTGAATATCAGTATACTCATTGTGTGTGTGTATGTGCATGTGTATACACACACACATAGCACATTTTACTTGTTCATCCATTTATGGAGATTGTTGATACTTCTACCTCCTTACTATTGAGAATGATTGTTATGAACCTGGGCATGCAAATATCTTTTTGAGAACCTGCTTTCAGTTATTTTGGATATATACTCAGAAGTAGGATCACCATATCCTACTATAGATCTATTTTTGTTTGAGGTAACAGTGCACAGAGATTCTAATTTCCCCATATCTTCATCAACACTTGCTATTTTTTGGGGGGGGGAACCATTCATCCTAATGGGTGTGAAATAATGTTTCATTGTGGTTTTGATTTTCATTTCTCTAATGCTTAGTGATGTTTAGCATCTTCTGCTTGTTGACCCTTTGTTTTATTTTAATTTATTTGAAAGGCAGATGGACGGAGATGGAGCTCTTTCATACTCTGATTCCCTCCCCAAGTGCCTGTAATAAGCAGGGGTGGGCCTGACCAAAGCCCAGTTTGGTGGGTTTCCCATGTGGGTAGCAGGGACACAAATTACTGGGCCATCACTTGCTGCTTCCCAAGGTGCACATGAGGAAGAACATGGAATTGGAAGTGAAACTGGAATTCAAATCCTGGGACTCTGAGACATTCCAGAATGGGCTGTGAGTGTTCCAATCAGTGTCTTAAGTGCTGTGCCAACCACCATGCCCCTTGATGACTCACTCTCTCTCCCTCCCTCTCTCTCTCTCTCTCTCTCTCTAAATGTCAATTCACATCCTTTTTTCATTTTCACTTTTTTGTTGAGAGTAAGAGTTGTTTATATAGTCTAGATACTTAATCCTTTATCAGATACATGATTTGTAATTTTTTATCAGAAAAGACTTATTTAATGGGATGTTTTAGAACTTGATCCCATGTAATTTTACCTAGTAGAGCATATGCATATGGCATGATTTTTAGCACTTTATAAATATACAAGAGATGCCTCTTATCCTCAGTTTCACTTAACTGCTGGCAACTGTGGCCAAAAATATGAGTATTGGGCTTGACCCTTCAAAGAGAGATTATGCTCAAATAACTTTCATTACAGTACCTAATGATTATGCCTAATTTACAGGTTAAACTTCATTGAGGTATGGATGTACTGGAAAAAAACACAGCATAAACAGGGTTTGGTACTGTGCTGGTTCTAGGCATCCATTGAGGTCTTAGAATGGAGCCAAGGTTGGTAAGAGGGGAAACTGTAACAGTTCTCAGAGGAATCCTCCCTTCCAGCATCCAAAATGACAGTTGACTTGCAGTCATTTGCAGGACGCTGACTTGGAGGGCAAGGATGCACGCAGGGCTGGGCTGAATTCCCTGTCCCAGGGACTGGGCAAACTTGAGGTAGAGCAAGTCATAACATGCTGGTCGCAGGCACATTGACTGCCCTCATGATTTATAAATATTTTCTTCCATTCCACAGATTGTTTTTATACTTTGATACTTTATTGTGTCCTTTGATGCAGTTTTAAAATTTGATACCATCCCATCTCTAGTACCATTTTTCCACATTTGCTTTTGGTACCATATCCAAGAAGTCACTGCCATGTCCAATATCATGAAATCTTTGTCCTAAGAGTATCATACTTTTAGGTTTGTATTTGGTATAAGATAAAGGTCCAGCTTATTCTGTTGCATGTGGCTATCCAGGTTTCTCAGTACCGCCTGTTGAAGACATAGTCATTCTTTTTCCACCAAATGGTCTTGATATACTTATTTAAAATTATTTGACCATATATTTAAGAGTTTGTGTTCTCAATTTTGTTCTATTTCATTGGTCTATAGATCTTTTTTTTTGGGGGGGGGGGTCTCTATTGTTTGTTTTTTAACTATTTGTGACCTTGGAGAAGTCATTTAATCTCTCCGAGCTTGTATTTTCATATCTGTTTAACATAAGTGGTACTTTAGTTGATCACTGAACTATTTCTCACTTTGAATTTGATGAAGTAGTCAACAAAGAAGAGATACACTTGGTGAATACAATTAAAAGGACAAACACTAAAGAATGATTAAGATAGTCATACTTGTTAGGTAGGTAAGATAGAATAATAATTCTATATAAATTGTGTAACTCAATACACTATTTATATATTGAGTTACACTATTTATACATATAGAATCTCTACTTTTCATAATGACCATATAAAGTAGGTATCATTACCCAATTTGCAGATATAGAAACCGAGGGTCAAAGAGATTAATTGCCTTGCACTGAACCAATATCTATTAAGTGGCAAAAAATGTCAGGATTCATACTTGAGATGGCTGGCACAAAGCCAATTTTGTTCTATTTCAACAAAACACCTGAGTTAAGAGAGAAATACACTAAGGGAACTTACTGCTATTATACATGGGTCTTCTGAAATAAATGGCATTACTTCTTTGGTGATAATATAAATTATTCTTTAAATATATCTATTCTTTTGTTAGCCTTGTCCCTTCAAAGGAGGTATTCTTTCCAACCTAAAATCTCCAGAGGATTTTCAGGGTAAAACACAATTCAAGATGTGCAATCACATGGAAGAATGAAAATCTTTTATAATATTATTTGTTAAACTGAGAGCTCTACTTAACAGAAGCCATTAAAATATTTACAAAGTAGCAGCTGCTCTTGTAAAAAACGACAGGTTTTTAGAGGCATAAAAATAAACAACTTGATGAGTACAAGATAAGCCATTTGACAGCTTCTTTGTGTACATTGCACAATATATAGAAAATTCTGATATTTACATAGCAATTATACTATAAAGCCTTTTAAGTTAAAAGGACACAGAACCAGTAAGAACGGAACTTTTACAAGAATTTTTCATACTGTTCTTTCAAACCATCTAGGGAGCCCCCAAACATAATGTTTTAAGAAGGGTTAGGTTTTTGATTAAAAAAATAAGCTTTGTTCTTAGAAGTTAGTTGTATGTGGATGAACCTTGGTTGAACTCAGTTGAGTTCTCTCTTGTACTTGAATTTGAGTGAGACCTCTTACTAAGATCATTAAAACTTGCGGTAAATAAATCAACAGAGAAAATCAAAATATGTTAACAAACACGTTTTAAAAGTAACTGAATGTTTGCATTTTACTTCTTTTTAAAAAGTTTATTTATTTGAAAGGCAGACTTACAATTTAGGAGAGATAGTCAGAGATCTTTCATCCTCTGCGTCACTTCCCCTTGGCTGCAACAAGTTAGGAGTCTTGAATGACATCCAATTCTCTCACGTGGGTGGCAGAGACCCAAGTACTTGAGCCATATTTTGCCTTCCCAAGCACATTAGCAGGGGGCTGGATGGCAAATGGAGCAGCTGGGACTTGAATCCGCACTTCCAGATGGGAAGGCAGTGTCATAAGCAGCAGCATAACCCACTGCACCCCAAAGCTGGCCCCTATGTCTTATTATTTAATCTGTTGTGGTACAGTGGGTTAAGCTGCCATTTGCAATGCCAGCATCCCAAATGGGTACCGGTTCATGTCCTGCTGCTCCACTTCCAGTCCAGCTTCCTGGTAATGTGCCTGGGAAAGCAGTGGAGGATGGCCCAAGTGCTTGGACCCCTGCCACCCATGTGGAAGACCTAGATGAACTGCCTGGCTCCTGGATTCAGCCTAGTCCAATCTTGGCCTTTTACACCATTTGGGGCATGAGCTAGCAAATGGAAGATTCTCTCTTTCTATCTGTCTCCCCCCCTTTTTGTAACTCTGCCTTTTACCTTTCAAACAGTTTAAAAAAAATCAGAGTCTTAGGATTATATTTCAGTAGTATTGGTTTTCTTTGGTTGAAATGTAATGGCAAGACACTAGTTATTACAGTTTTATTTCTATGATGGGTCTTCAAAAAACTCATGGAAAGATGTGTATTATGAAAAAAGTGTGCATGAATTGCAAAATTTTTTAAATAAAATTTATTCTTCAATCCTATTTTTCTTTTTTAAAAAATGGCTTGTATATTTATTTATTTGAAATGCAGAATGAAGAGTGAGAGAGAGAGCCTCCATCCAATGATTCACTCCCAAAATGGCTGTCACAGCCAGGGCTAGGCCAGGCTGAAGTCTGGAGCTGGGAACTCTGTCTGGGTCTTCCACATGTGTGGCAGAGGCTCAAGTACTTGAGCCATTATCCACTGCCTTTTCAGGCACATTAGCAGGAAGTTGGATTGGAAACAGAGTAGCCAGGACTTGAACCAGCATTCCAGTATGGGATGGTGGTGTGGTAAGTTGTAGCTTAACCCATTGCATCATAACACTAGCCCATCAATCCCATTTTCCATTAATTTTTTGAAGCACCCTCTTACATATTGGTAAATTTTAAGTCTTGACGAAATGATTTAGTAATAGCTATCACATTTTAAGGATTTTTAAAACTATTATTAGAAATATTCTCATTTTGGGGATTTTCATCTAGTATCTAAATTTTTATTAACATAACTAGGAAGAAAAAATTTTAATTGGAAGACAAGTCAAAAGCTGTAGATAGTCTGTGTTTTGTATGAACAAATTAAAAAACTGCCAATTAATAAATGGTACTGAGTCAGTATAATTACTGACAACTATCTGAGGTTTAGTCTAGGTTCTGCATGTAATCCACTTGATCCTGTAAAGTTTCAGTGGGTATTACAATTGTTGGTAATTTATCCCCATACCTTTATATTTTGGGGTTCATAAGAATACGTTGTCACTAAGTTTTGTTGTAGATGCTGTCTACATGAGGTTCACTATGCTAATTACTCTTTCTGTTTTGACAGGTTACTGGAAGACTATAGCACTATAGTGATTCCATCTTTTTCAGAATTCTCTGGCAGCACTGATTTTAATAAAAACAGGTAATAATCCAAACATCTATCCATAGGATTCTGGTTAAACAGATTATAATATATCCATACAACTGAATAATCTCTTTATAAAAAAGTGGGGCATGAGCGATCAGACTACATATACTGCTTTATAACCTTCTAAAATATTTTTTTAAAAACAGCTAGTAATATATCAAGGGGCTGGCACCATGGCACAGTAAGTTAATCCTCTGCCTGGGGCTCCAGCATCCCATATGGGTGCCGGTTCTAGTCCCAGCTGCTCCCCTTCCAATTCAGCTCTCTGCTATGGCCTGGAAAAACAGTAGAAGATGGCCCAAGTCCTTGGACCCTTGCAACCGCATGAGAGACCAAGAAGAACTGCCTGGTTCCTGGCTTTGGGTTGGCGCAGCTCTGGCAGTCGTGGCCATTTGGGGAGTGAACCAAGAGAAGGAAGACCTTTCTCTCTGTCTCTTCCTCTCACTGTCTGTAACTCTACCTCTCAAATAAAATCTTAAAAAAAAAACAGCTAGTAATGATCTTATTACCATTATGTGAAAGAAGGAAATCTAGAAAATCTATAATATTTTAAGATTCCTTTCTTGATGAATGGCATTATACAGAACTCTTATTTTCTAAATTAACATTACTGACATTTAAATTTTATGTATTTCATATGTATTGTTCTAAGAAAGAATAATGGTTAAAATAGTGGTTTTGTATAAAATACGCATATACAGTTATATAATATTTACATATTCTTATAACTGGTAACATTACTTTCCTCTGAGAGGAACTTTGTAATTACAGAATAGACTTGAGAATAGAACTTTTAACTAGAATGTATTTTGTACTTTTTGAATCCTAAACCATGTGAGTATCATTATTAAGAGAAATATAATTTAAAATTTCAAATATTACATGAATTAAAATTGTGTGAAATTAATGTTTCATAAACTGAGAACTCATCTAAATAGGTAATTTAGAAAATGGTTGGCCAGCGCCATGGGCTCACTTGGCTAATCCTCTGCCTGCAGCGCTGGCATCCCGGGGTTCTAGTCCTGGTTGGGGCACCAGATTCTGTCTCAGTTGCTCCTCTTCAGTCCAGCTCTCTGCTGTGGCCCGGGAAGGCAGTGGAGGATGGTCCAAGTGCTTGGGCCCTGCACCCACGTGAGAAACCAGGAGGAAGCAACTGGCTCCATGCTTTGGATCAGCGCAGCGTGCCAGCTGCAGCATGCCGGCCATAGTGGCCATTTGGGGGTTGAACCAATGGAAGGAAGACCTTTTTTTCTGTCTCTGTCTAACTCTGCCTGTAAAAAAAAAAAAGAATCATATCATCTGCAAAGAGGGATAATTTGATAATTTGACTTCTTCCTTCCCAATTTGTATCCCTTTAATTACTTTTTCTTGTCTAATGGCTCTGGCTAAAACTTCCAGAACTATATTGAATAGCAGTGGTGAGAATGGGCATCCCTGTCTAGTACCAGATCTCAGTGGGAATGCTTCCAACTTTTCCCAACTCAATAGGATGCTGGCCATGATTGCTTTGATTGTATTGAGGAATGTTCCTTCTATATCCAATTTGCTTAGTGTTTTCATCATGAAAGGGTGTTGTATTTTACCAAATGCTTTCCCTGCATCTATTGAGATAATCATATGGTTTTTCTTCTGCAGTCTGTTAATGTGGTGTATCACATTGATTGATTTGTGAACATTGAACCATCCCTTTGTACCAGGGATAAATCCAACTTGGTCTGGGGGATGATCTTTCTGATGAGTTATTGCATTCTATTGGCCAGAATTTTATTGAGGATTTTTGCATCTATGTTCATCAGGGAAGTTGGTCTGTAATTCTCTTTCTCTGCTGCATCCTTTTCAGGTCTAGGAATTAAGGTGATGCTGGCTTCATAGAAAGAATTTGGGAAGATTCCCTCTCTTTCAATTGTTCTGAATAGTATGAGAAGAATTGGAGTTAGTTCTTCTTTAAATGTCTGGTAGAATTCAGCAGTGAATGCATCCGGCCGTGTGCTTTTTTTGTTGGGAGGGCCTTTATTACTGATTCAATTTCTGTCTCAGTTATGGGTCTGTTTAGGTTTTCGATGTCTTCCTGGTTCAATTTAGGTAGGTTGTTTGTGTCCAGGAATCTATCCATTTCTGATAGATTTCCCTGTTTGCTGGCATACAAGTCCTTGTAGTAATTTCTGATGATTCTTTTTATTTCTGTGGTGTCTGTTATGTTTCCTTTTTCATCTCTGATTTTATTGATTTGGATCTTTTCTTTTTTGGTTAGTTGGGCCAATGGGGTGTCAATTTTGTTTATTTTTTCAAAAAACCAGCTCCTCGTATGGCTGATCTTTTTAAATTTATTTTGGATTCAATCCTATTGATTTCTTCTCTGATTTTAATTATTTCTATTCTACTAGTTTTGGGTCAGGTTTACTGCAGTTTTTCTAGATCCTTGAGATGCACTGATAGTTCATTTATTTGGTGCTTTTCCAATTTGTTGATGTAGGCACCTACTGCTATAAACTTTCCTCTTAACACTGCTTTCCATGTATCCCATAAGTTTTGATATGTTTTGTTATCATCATTTGCTTCCAGAAAGTTTTTGATTTTTCTTTTGATTTCTTCTATGACCCAGTGTTCATTCAGGAGTATGTTGTTCAGTCTCCATGTGTTTGCATATGTTCTAGGGATTCCTGAGTTGTTCATTTCCAGCTTCATTCCATTGTGATCTGAGAAGATGCATTGTATGATTTGATTCTTTTGAATTTGCTGAGACTTGCTTTATGGCCTTGTTTGTGGTCAATCTTTGAGTAAGTTCCATGTACTGCTGAGAATAATGTGTATTCTGCAAGTGTAGGATGAAAAGTTCTGTAGATACCTGTTAGATCCATAATTTGGTCTATAGTGTTGATTAAATCTGCTGTTTCCTTGTTGATCTTCTGTGCAGTTGATCTGTCCATTGCTAAAAGTAGAGTACTGAAGTCCCCCAATACTATTGTATTGGAGTCTAAGTCTCCCTTTAAGTCCCTTAACATATCTTTTAAATAAACTGGTGCCCTGTAATTAGGTGCATATCTGTTTATAATAGTTACATCTTCCTGTTGAATTGATCCCTTAATCATTATATAGTGCCCCTCTTAACAGTTTTTTTGTTCAAGTTTATTTTGTCTGATATTAAGATGGCTATGCCCGTTCTTTTTTCATTTCTGTTGGCATGGAATATCTTTTACAACCTTTGACTTTCAGTCTGCATGTACCTTTGTTGGAAATATGTGTTTCTTGTAGGCAGCAAATAGATGGGTTTTGTTTTTTAATTGATTGAGCTTTCTTGCCTGTTAACTGGGGAGTTGAGGCCATTAATGTTCAATGTGACTATTGATAAGTAGTGACTTTGCCCTGCCATTTTTCCAAAGATATTTCTAATATATACTTTGATCTTCCTGCCATCTTTTACTGAGAGATTTCCTTCCTTTACCTTCTTTCATATTGATGACCGTGTTTCTGTGTGTAACACATCTTTAAGCATCTTTTGTAGGACTGGACGAGTGGTGACAAATTCTTTGAATTTCTGTTTGCTGTGAAAGGTCTCTATTTCACCTTCATTCACAAATGAGAGCTTTGCAGGATATAATATTCTGGGCTGGCAGTTGTTCTCTCTTAGTACCTGGGCTATGTTTCGCCATTCCCTCCTAGCTTGTAGGGTTTCTGATGAGAAGTGTGCTGTGAGTCTAATTGGAGATCCTCTGAGAGTAATCTGACATTTCTCTCTTGCACATTTTAGAATCTTTTCTTTATGTTTCACTGTGGTGAGTTTAATTACAACATGTTGTTGTGAGGATCTCTTTTGGTCATATTTATTAGGGGTTCTATGAGCTTCCTGTACTAGGATGTCTCTGCCCTCCTCCAAACCTGGGAAATTTTCTGCTAATATCTCACTAAAAAGGCCTTCTAATCCTTTCTCTCTCTCTCTATGCCTTCAGGAACTCCTAGAACCCGAATGTTGGTTTTTTTAACAGTATCCTGTGGATTTCTGACAATATTTTTTAGATTTCTAATTTCCTCTTCTTTTCTTTGGTTTGACTGTATACTTTCCTGTGCTCTGTCTTCTACGTCCGATATTCTCTCTTCTGCCTCATTGTTTTTAAGGGTCTCTTTACTTGTTCTATTGAATTCTTCATTTCATTTTGATTTCTCTTCAATATCTCACTTTCATGTTCTACTGAATTCCTCAATTCATTTTGATTCCTCCTTAAGATTTCATTTTCATGACAGAGATTTTCTTTCATGACCTGCATGGATTTCAGTAGTTCATGCATTTGTTTTTGATTACTTCTAAATATTCTTATAAATTTTTTGAGTTCCATTTCTTGCATTTCTTCTATCATTATCTTGTATTGGAGTATCACGTCCTTTTGGGAGTGTCAATTTGTCTTCCTTGTTCTTGTTTCCTTGTCTTTTGCCTTTGCTGTTTAGCATTGTGGAGATATTCTTGGGTTTCTTTTTTTTTTTTTTCTTGCTGTGGCAGCTTTTCTTTTTATACTATGACCCTAGATTAAGTGGACTGTCTGCTTTTGGTGAATCTCTAGAGGCTTGTGGTGGGTGTGGTCAGAGAGCTCTGCTCAGTTCTTTAGGGTTAAGGGTCGTGCCTAAGGGGACACACCAGGTTTGGCATGGTAAATCTTCTCTCTTTTTTCTCTCTCTTTTTTTAATCAGAAGGGAAGTAATTCTGCTCAGCTGAGCTATTCTCCTCAATGGCGACCAGCCCAGTGGATATAATTTTTTTGCTCTGTCCCAAGGACCAGACAAAGGATCTGTGCCATCCTCAGTGTAAGCTCAGATTCCCTGCAGTGTCTCTCACCGGGTATCCAGGGCTGCCTGAACTTGTGGCGTCTCCCACCGAGAGTACTCACGTCCTAGCCACATTGTGAGTTCTCCCACACACCCTCAGTTTTTCTTTCACAGTCCTGGTTGATAAGCTCCACACATTCACTAGGTCTTAGTCCTCTCTTATTACTCCCCACCAGAGT